TGTTGGAGCCCCTCATGGTTAGGCTCCACAACTCATATTCCAACTTCTGGATCTCGCCCCTCAGGCAGTACTCCTCAATCATGAGGTCTTTCATAGTTTCCCAACCCTTGTCGTTTGCCACTACAAGCATGAGTGACTTGACAGGCAGTTCCACCATGTCATGGATTTCTCCTCAAAGATGCAAGCGGCAAACTTGACCATACTCTCGGCAGGGCAGGAACAAATTCGAAGACCAACTCTGTCTTCTCGAACCATTGCGAGAGGCAATGACTCCGCCAGTCCCATTGAAAAATTTTGGCTTACAGTTAAGGAAGTCCTTGTAGGAGCACTCTCTCGAGCGGACAACGAGTTCACCTTGAGTAGAGTTAAAAGGGGTTCTACCTCTGCTGGCATCATTGGAGTGATATTGAGCCGTGGCAGTTGCCACTGCTGCAGCTACTGCAGCATTTAAAGATGCGATACTGATTGCCGAAGGAGGTGGTGGTAGAGGATTTGGAGGATTATGACTTGTTGATTTTCGAGGAGGCATCCTTCAACTATAAGTTTAAAGGAAAGATGTACATGGTGGTTAGAATCAATTGTAAGCATAATGAGAGAGTTCCATTGGCTAAATCGCCATAGTCCAACAGTTGAATGAGTGTATGTTTTGAAATAGAAGCATAGCAGAAGAGTAGGAAAAACACAAGAGTATAGATTTTTCCAATAAATTAGATAACTGTCAATATTATTGGTATTACTGATGTAAACGAGTTCGGGAAAACGACCTAACAGTAGGTCTTACATCAAACCATATGGGGAAAATGCTTAACAGCTTAGTAGACTAGATAGTGTACTGAAAGATAGGAATAACTTACAGACAAGTGCTTCATAGAGCATAGATACGAAAGGTTGTACCTTAATCAAAAGAAAAGACATGCTAGACATCTTTTAACGGTGATCGGAATTCCTCGGGTGACACCTAAGGTCTTCCATCTGACGGACCACTTTCTTGGAGGTGTCGTTCATGAGCCCTCTAGCGAACTCGAAGTTCTATGACTTCCGCTCGGGAGGCAGCTAGCTGTTGCTGCAGAGTCTCATTAGTCCTTCTAGTCCTTTCTTTCACCTCTTTGAGATGGTGAATGCCGATGGTGTTGACACCAGTGTTGGCATCAATGTCCACTATTCGGCCGATGGCTGCTCGACCTTGCTCCAAATTCTGAGCAATTCTACGGACCATGATGGGTAGGGCTCGATCAACCGAGCTACCATCGCTTATGTTGTAGAAGCTTCGGTCCCCATGGTAAGTTAAGGGTTGACCTTATTCGTCGCTCCAGTGATTCAAGTTTGGTGCCCACAAGGGTGTGGGACCCTAAAACACTAGTCGGGGGTTGTTAATTGGGGCTTGACCTACTTGGGGTAGGTTTTTGACTTCTAGCTCGGAGTTAGATGCATCTGAGAAGCCTTCTGCTTGATGATCATCCAGAGGGATTTGATGCTCATCATCGGACTCTGCTTCAAGCCATCCAACATTGTCGTGGGGTGGAAGGTACCGGTTGCCATGATGAAATACAGCCATGATATATAAGCGAGAAAATGGGTATAAGAATCTTATAAAAATAGACTTACTATTTAAGATAATTATAAGAGGATCTTTATCAGTTATGTCAATACTTGCTGTACCCAACCCCAGTACGGTACCCACACCCTACCATGAAGCGTCAACAAACCCCGACTGTCGTAATCAAATGAAGCTACTCGACCCACTATTCTCTCACACTTCTGCCTCTCCTCCTTGAGGCCCTCCATCTGAGCCTCCTTGATCCGCTCCAACAGTGGAGTGATCACAGACATCCTCATACACAGATCCCTGATAGGGGCCGCCGACACCTTGCGACTCAGGGCGTCGGTCACCACATTGGCCTTCCCTGGATGATAAAGGATCTCACAGTCATAGTCCTTCAGCACGTCTAACCATCTCCTCTGCCTCATGTTCAAACTCGGCTGATCCATAAGATATCACAAACTCTTGTGATCCGTGTATATAGTACAGCGGACCCCATAAAGGTAATGTCTCCAAATCTTGAGGGCAAACACAACTGCCCCCAGCTCCAAATCGTGGGTAGGATAATTAGCCTCGTGAGGCTTCAACTGTCTCGAGGCATAAGCTACCACATGGCCTCGCTGCATCAATACTGCTCCCATACCTGTGATCGAAGCATCACAATAGACTACGAAATCCTCTACTCCCTCTGGCAAGGTAAGGATCGGAGCCTCGCACAATCTCTGCCTGAGAGTCTCGAACGCCGCCTGCTGCTCAGGCCCCCAACAAAAAACCACCGACTTCTTGGTTAGTCGGGTGAGCGGAACTGCTATCTTGGAGAAGTCCTGAATAAATCTCCGATAATACCCTGCCAGCCCTAGGAAGCTCCGAATCTCAGATGGAGACCTCGGGACCTCCCACTGCATCACGGCCTCAATCTTGGCCGGATCTACCAAAATACCCTTCTGGTTGACGAGATGACCAAGAAACTGCACCTCGCGCAACCAGAACTCACACTTGGAGAACTTTGCGAAAAGTCTCTCCCTCCTCAAAGTCTCCAACACCTCCCGCAGGTGCTCCTCGTGCTGCCCCTGTGTCTTGGAATATACCAAGATGTCATCTATGAACACTATCACCGACCGATCCAGCATCGGTCTGCACACGCGGTTCATGAGATCCATGAACGCGGCTGGGGCATTAGTGAGCCCAAATGGCATCACCACGAACTCATAATGACCATACCGGGTCCTGAAAGCAGTCTTTTGTACATCCTCATCTCTAACCCTCATCTGATGATAACCGGAGCATAGATCGATCTTGGAGAACCAATACGCTCCCTGAAGCTGGTCAAACAAGTCATCAATCCTCGGAAGTGGGTAACGGTTCTTCACCGTTACTTTGTTCAACTCCCGATAATCAATGCACATACGATGCGACCCATCCTTCTTCCTCACAAATAAGATCGGCGCTCCCCAAGGCGAACTGCTCGGCCGAATGAAACCCTTGTCTAACAGCTCCTGAAGCTGTGTAGACAACTCCTGCATCTCAGGGGAAGCAAGTCAATACGGTGCTTTGGCTATCGGAGCCGCACCAGGAACTAGGTCGATCCTGAACTCAACCTGCCTCTCTGGAGGTGTCCCCGGAAAATCCTCGGGAAACACATCCGGGTAGTCATGAACAATAGGAACATTATCAATCGTCGTCTTGCCCTTCTCCCGGGCATCCAAGACGTAAGCTACAAAACCGGCGCAACCCTGCTGAACATAGCGCCTCGCCCTTGCGGCGGAACAAAAGATCGGTCCTCGCTGGGGCCTCTCTCCCTGAATCACTATCTCTCCCCCACTGGGAGTGCGAACCCTCACTAGCTGAAGCTCACAATCAATCACCGCCCCATTGGGGCTCAGCCAATCCATGCCCACAATAACTTTATTCGCACGCAGGGGAATAGGAACCAGGTCCACTGAAAACTGCTCATCAAATATCTGAAGGGAACACCCTCTATGTACTCTGCCGACCCTCACGGTCCTATCATCTGCTATCTCAACCTCTAGTGGACAATCCAGCTCCCCTGGAGCTCTGCTAAATCTCTTGCTAAGCGCAAGCGATACAAATGATCGAGTAGCCCCTAAATCGAACAATACCAAAGCAGGGATGTCGTTCACCGAGAACGACCCTAAATAAAACATATCATCAAGTAATATTCAAACGATATTATAACAATTAAAAGATGGAGGAAAGATACATACCCGTCACCACATCAGGAGTCGCTCGCGCCTCCTCTGCTGTCATCTGAAATGCCCTGCTCTTTGCCACTAGCGCATCAGATCGGCCCTGCCGGCCATCCGTAATCCTCAAGGTGGCAGGGGGCAGGTGCAACCACCTTCCCTGCTGCAGCTAAACTGGGACACTGGGACCTTTTATGTCCCCTCTGATTGCACTGAAAGCAAATCAGATCTGATGCTGTAACCGTAGTAGCAGGGGCCGAACAATCCCTACTCAAATGCCCAGTCCGACCGCACTTGTAGCAGCCGGAACTCCCTGCCTTGCACGCACCCTCGTGCAATCTCCCACACTTGCCACACCGACCGTGGCTCTGCTGACTCCTAGACCTGTGATCTGAAACCTTGGGCTTTTTGCCCACACTGCCTGAACCCGAAACCGCCTCCGGTTTCCTCTTCTTCTCCATCTCGAGATCAATCTCCCTCTCTCTAGCTCTGGCAATCATGTCGTCCAGCGTTTTACAACTGGACCGGCTCACAAACATGCGAATGTCACTCCGCAGCATCTCATGATAACGGGCCTTCTTCATCTCCTCTTCAGCTGCATACTGTGGAACAAGAAAGAGCCCTCTCCCTGAACTTGGCGGTGATCTCCGCCACTGTCTCAGTAGTCTGGGTAAGGTCCTGGAACTCCCTAGCTAACTGCTGCACCTCAATGACCGGTGCAAACTCCACCCTGAACCTGGCAGAGAAATCAGCCCAGGTCATGGCATCCAATGCTGCATCATCCCCGATGGCATATCCGACCTCCTTCCACCAATCCCGTGCCCTGTCCTTCAGAAGACAGGACGCTAATCTGACCTTGTCCCCCTCGGGACACCTGCTAGTGCGGAAAGCGTTGGCCACATCC